GGTGTTTATTCTAAAGGGAAAGTGAGCTTCGGTCAAATGAGCACTACCTTTCTAGTTGGAAGACCTGGGTTGTTATTCTAAACAATTTTGGTTAGAAATTCAGTCAGGATCCTCCTCAGTGTGTTTTGAACTTCTTGGGGAAGATCTAGTCCCATGATAGAGGGTCCCAAACAACCCTGTAATACAGTAGTACATTGGTAGAGCGTTAAAGTCATTCATGCACATCTTATCTGCTTAGTCTCTAAACTCTATGAAGTATTGGATATGCAATATTCCAACATAATGCTCTCTCTGTGCATGGGTAAGTGTTGGTTGAACATTTGTTGGAGAAATGAAGAGAAAACTCTCATCAGGTGCTCTGTAAGTGTCAGGTACTGAATAAATGTTTGCGAGACATTTGGTGGCACAGTAGATAGAGCCCTGGGCTTGGAATCAGGAACTCATCTTCATGAGTTCAAATCGGGTCTCAGACTCTTAGTCGCTGTATGACCTGGGGCAAATCACTTCACCCTGTTTGCCTCAGTTTCCTCATCTGTAAAATGAGCTGGAGAAGGCAATGGCAAACCACTCCAGTATCTCTGCCAAGAAAATCCCAAATGGGGCACCCTGAGTGGAACACAATGAAACAGCAACAACAGAGAGTTATGGATTTGGAGTTCGAGGACTTGCATTTAAATCTCGACTTGGGTCAGCTGTGTGTAACCTTGGTAATTCTGGGCCTCAGTTTCCCCTTCTCTAAAGTGAAGGGGTTAATGTAAATGGCCTTAGAGGTCCCTTCCAGCTATGATCCTTTGGAAACCTCATCAGGTTCAATACACATAAGAAGCATTTATCTACTAAGGACTGGTTGAGTTGAACTGGACTTAATCCAGTAGGACCCAAAAAGCAACATTGCCCTCTTTTTGATTGAAAACTCCTTGAAGGCAAGAGGACTGTTCTTACCATTCTTTACATCCCCTTTTCTACACAATTTCTGGCACATAGTGAGACTTAGGAAGTGCTTATTATCTTGATTTGACTTAAAAAACAAATAAACCAGAAACTTTGATCTATTTGTTTGGGGGTGGGGTGGGGCGGGAGAGTGAGCAGTGGTCTGTTAAGATCTCTGTCTTGTCGAAAGTGCTCTGGCTTAACCAAGCCCCAAGGATTTGGTCCCCAAGGCTTGTCAAAAAACCAGAAAAGTGCATTAAGGTCTGAATGAAGCAATGCCCAACTTAGAATGGAGGCTTTAGGGCACTCAACCCTTTCCAGTTTCCCCTTCCCCACCTCTTGGGGAGTTTGAGGTTACTACCTCATAAAGCAGGTGTCAAGGAATAGGGGTACTAAGGGAGTACAACTTCAATCTATCCTGAAAATGCTCTCAAATCCAAATCTTCAGTCACTTCAATGAGTATCCAAGAGATGCTTTCATTTAAGTAAATACAATGGGGAGTGGGGGGTGGGGTGGGGAGAGAGAATTCACCAGATAAGAAGAGGAATTTGTCACTTCCCATGACAAAGGATATCTTCTGTTCTGCATCCCAAGTCCCCATTTGATCACAGAATTTAGAAGCAATCTCAGAGGCCCATCAAGTTGAGCCATTTCATTTGACATATGAAGACACTAAGGCACCCAAATCGTATAGTAGGTGCTTAATAATAAAGGCACGCTAGATTGAATTGAGGAAATTAAGGCACCAAAATACATAGTAGTTGCTTAATAAATAAATGTATGTTGGATTGCATTGGACTTGGGAAAGACTTGCCCAAGATTATATAAGAAGAAATAATAACGTTATTAATAGCTAGCATTTATATAGCCCTTTAAAGTTTGCAAAGTGCTTTACAAATATTATCTTATTTGGTTCTTACAACAACCTTGGGAGGTAGGTACTATTATCATCCCAATTTTACAGTCAAAGAAACAAAGGCAGGTGGAGGTAAAGTGACTTGCTCAGGGTCACACAACTAGGAAGTACCTGAGGTCAAATTTGAATTCAGGTCTGCCTTATTCCAGGTCCAGAAGAAGAAAAATTGAAAACCTGGGGTTGAACCCCATTTTCTCAGACTCTGTATCCATTACACCATATTACTCATTCATGGAATATTACACATATCTGTTACTATCTCTTCAGGAGGCATGCATAAAGGCCCTTAAGTAGGTTTCAATAAATTACAAATGATGATTTCTCCCCAGGACATGACAGGAAAAAAAAGCTTCGGGGAGATGTATGCCCAGAAAAATAGTGGGCGGCACATGTAGCAAAGGCTGGGGATGCTACAATTGGTACCCACAGAATGTCAAGATATAGACAAGAGCCCCCACCCCCCACCCCAAGATCAGAAGGCTGGGACTGGTGATTATGCCTTTGAAAGGAATCCCCACATCATTCCAATATAATGTAAGTTCTTTCAGGACAAAGGCTGCTTTTTCTTGGGTTTTTCCATTCTGGGTGGCTAGTACAGTGCCTTGTATAGAGCAGCCAATTAATATGTGAACTCGATCAAGAATCCACTGAAGTCTGGAAGAAAACTCCGCATTTTACCCCTCCACTAGACAATGAGCAAAGATTCTCATCTTCCTAAAATCCATAGTCTCTCCCCTCATTTTTTTAGCCGTTTTTCCTTTTTATTTCTAGTGCTTAATATAGTGCCTACAAATAAGAGGCATTTAAAAAAATGCTTGTTGATCGATTCCCTAAGGTCAGATTGAGAATAGGTTATTTTTAAAAAGTATATAGAATAAATTAATTTGTCAGTTTATTAAACTAACATTTTAAAGGAAAGGGGATAAGCATTTATTAAGTGCTATTATTATTCTCATGTTTCATTTGAGGAAACTGGAATTGAAGCAGACTGAACTTAAGAGACTTGTCCATGGTCATACAGCTAGTTAGTATCTGAGGCTAGATTTGAACTCCGGTCTTCTTGACTCCAGGTCCATCCCTCTATCCATCATGCTGGCAATCACTTGATAGGCTTTTATTATGGACTAACTATATGGCAGATACTTTACTAGGTGCTAGGAGTAAGATGCAGCTTGGAATGGTGGCTAGAGCTGGTCTAGGAGACCAGAAGACCTGGGTTAAAGTCCTGTCGCTGATGATAATGTTACTCTGAGCAAGTTATTTAATATCAATAATTCAGGCAATTTCCTAGTACTGATTGCATCCCAGGACCGTTCCTCTGTCCTATAGGATGGGTCCTGGGCTAGCAAAACCAAAAACAAACGGTTCCTGCTCCCTAGAAACTTAAATCCTTTCTGGGGAAACAATATTTACACATATAAGTATTTAGAAAATATGTAGGAAGCCGTCTCAGAGAGGAGGCAGCAGCCACATGGGAAGATTAGGAAAGGCTTCTCTTGGACTGAGCTTTGAAGGGACAATTAGAATGAATGATTTTCGGAGACATTTACCCTACGCTCTCTGAAGTTACTTTGTGTTTATACACGTGCACACATGTGGTTTCTCTGAAAGAACTGCAAGTGCTTGAGAACAGAGAATTTTCACGTTTGTTACCAAGTTTCCAGTTGCCTAGCTAGAGCCTGGTGCATAGTAGTTATTCTTAGAATGTTTGTTGATTGATTCATGGATTCCAGCTCTAAATCCCAAGACTGTAGTAACAATTGAATGCATTCACTAAATCAATCAGTCAACCAATCCACAGTATTCACTAAATTGCCTATAGGCTAGCCAGCTGGGTGTGCAAGGCTCTGGGAATAGGATCCAAAGGGTGTGTGGGGGGGAAAGCAGACTCACTTTCAAGATTCCATCACTGACTGTGAATATGAAGCACACAGTAGGAGCTTAGTAAGTGCCAGTTGATCGACTGGCTGCTTCAGATTCATGTAAAGTGAGGAGCGGGAGTGAGGACTTTTTGAGCTCTAAATCTGTTTTAAAATAGATCTTGAAAGAAATGTGGTCGTTTCTCCTTAGTCAGAAGGGCAGTCCCACCTATTCTCACTATGACCTAACTTTCCTACCGCTAAGTCCTGCCCCGAGCCCCCGAGCCCGGATGCAAGGACTGGGGATTTCTACATCCAAGCCTAGGTTCCAGTCACCCTTGTCTCACTGCCCCAGTCACCGCTCCCTCCCCTCCCTTTCCAGTTGTTGGGTTTTTTTTGTGGCTAGGCAATGGGGTTAAGTCACTTGCCCAGGGTCACACAGCTAGTAAGTGTTATGTGTCTGAGGTCGCATTTGAACTCAGGTCGTACTGAATCCAGGGCCGGTGCTCTATTCACTGCGCCACCTAGCTGCCCCCCCCTCCAGTTTCCTAACAGTAATCGAAGGTACTGATGGAAAAAATGAGTCAGTGTACTCTGCTAGCGTCCCACTCTTCATCTCTCAAAATTCTGTCGGACTACGGTGCCCCAATCGGGCAGGGATTTTTTCATGGCCTCTAAGGTCCCCTCCACGTCTAAATCTATGGTCCACCTACTAGAATGTAAGCCTCCTGAGGGCAGGGATTGCTTTCCTCTGTACTTAAGTCACTTCACCTCTGGGCCTCAGTTTCTTCATCTGCAAAACAGGGGTGGGGGCGGAAGTCGGATTCCACGGCCTCTAAGATACCTTCCAGCTCTAAATCTGTGACCCTGCTTTTAAAAAGGAAACTCCTCGAGGGCAGGGACTGGTTTCATTTCTGTGTTTGTATTCCCGTATCGTAAGTGCTCGCTTGGCACGGAGTAAGCGCTGCGTAAATGTGTGGCCATTCAGTCGTTCATCAGCCCAGAGAGGGGCTGGGCGCGTGGGTGAGAGCGACAGGGAGGCGAGTCCCAGACCGCTGGCCCGTGGGCTCGCACATTCCTCCTCTCCTCCTTTTTGTTCCCCTCACCTCGGGACAACCAGGCCAGCCTGGCCCCGCCCTGCCCCGCCCCTCCCCCTTCCTTCCTCGCTAAGCCGAAGGCCTGAGGCGAGCCGGCGGTAGAAAACTACAACCCCCACAATGCCGTTCGGCGCCTTGGCCCCCTGATAGGCTGACGACGATTTCCCGCCTTCCCCCACTTCCGGCCCACTGCCAGCCAGTTGTCGTTGGTTCAGCTGCAGGCGCGGCTGCCCGGGGGTCACGGAGGAGGCGGCGGCGGCGGCGGCGGCGGCGGAGGACGAGGAGGAGGGGGACGAGGAGGCGGCGGCGCCGCGGGGACCGGTGAGGGCTCCCGTCCTCCCCGAGGCCCGGCCTGGGCCACTCCCCGCAGGCCGCGGCCGTTCGTCCTCCCTCCCGGGACCCGGGGCAGACGGACCGACGGAGGGAGGGAGGGAGGGACAGAGAGAGACAGAGACAGGTGGAGAGAGAGAGAGAGAGAGGAAGGGGCCAGAGACTGGGAGAGACAGAAGAGAGAAAGAGGGAGACAAGGATGAGGAGAGAGAAATCGAATAGAAAGAGGGAGAGACAAAGAAGAGATAAGGAGACAGAGAAGAGGGAGAAAGGGAGAGAGAGAGAGAGAGAAGAACTAGAAGAGATAAGGACACAAAGGGACAGGGAGAGAGATGGAGGGAAAAAATGGGAGAAGAGAGAAAGAGATAGAGACAGAAAGAAAAGATAAAGAGACGAGGGGAGAGAAAAGAGGAAAGACAGAGAAGAGACAGAGGGAGAGACAGGAAAAAATGGGAAAGAAAGAAAGATAAGAGAAAACAGAAAGAAGTGGAGAGAGGCAGAAGAGAGGGAAAGAAAGGAGAAAAAGAAGAGATAAGAGAGAGAAAAAAGAGAAAAAAGCAATAAGGAAGAGAAAGGAGAGAGAAGCGATAAGGAGACAAAAAAAAAGAGACAGGGAGAGATAGAAAGAGAGACAGGGAAAGGAGATGGGCAGAGAAACAAGGCAGGGAGGCAGGGGCAGACTGAGCCATGTGGCGTGGGCGCTTCCCGCTTCTGTCTGTATCTGTGTGTGTTTGTATGAGACACTGTCCTGCACCCTCTTCCCAGGTTCCTTTTCCGGGTGAGGTTCTTGGTGCCCCCTCCTGTCTCCAATGACTTTCCTGTCTATAAAGGTATCTTTGTTCTTGTTGGAGAGAAACTACTGGGGCCTCCTCATTTTTTCAGCATCTATTAACTACCTTGCAACGCCACTATGTGTGAAGCTTTGGGTTAAGGGATAGGGACACTGAAGACAAAGGGACAAACAGTCTCTGCCCACAAGGAGCTTACACTGGTTCCAGGCTCTTGTGGCACGTTAGCTGTGTCTCCACATATGAGAGATTGTTTGGGTCTCCATCCTCCTAAACTCTCCACGGCTGACAATTTATCTGTCTTTCCCGCATTAACTCCCAGCAGTGTCTGTGTCTGCTTGAGAGAGTGAAGCAGTCTGGGATTCCCCTCAGCCAGGACTGCTCTTTATGACAATATCTGTGTGCCCTATCCAGTGTTCCTTCATCTTACTGCCTTCTGAGATTACCTCCAGTTTATACTGCCTGTATCCTGTTGGTATATAATTGTTTGCAGGTTATCTCCCCCTGTAGACTGTCAGCTTCTTGAGGGCAGGGATGATCTTTTGCCTTTTTGTTTTTGTCTCCCTGGTGATTAGCACAGTGCCTGGTACGTAGTAGGTGCTTAATAAATGGTCGTTGACTGACTGGCTGTTAAATGTGTGAGAGTTACAGAGCTTCCTATATCCTACGCTTTCTTTGTAAGTAGTAAGATCTTTGTGAATAAGGGAGAGGTGGTTCTTTCTCCCCCTCTCTTGGTGGGTGGCACTGTGTCATTCTCTGTCCCTACTTCAGCCTCCTCCACCTTAACCCCTCATTACTTTGTCTGAATGTCCCTGTGTTTCTCCTGTTGTAGCTAGAGGTCTCCCTGTGTGTGACAAAACCCCAAAGCTCTACAGTGTGGGCCCATCGGTCCCTTCAGGATTTCTCTCTGGGACAGTCAGCCACCTGATTGCTTCCCCCCTGCCCCCCCTCGCAAGTCAGCAGGGGCACTGTCCTTCTGTGTTTGAGTCCTGGCCCTGTCCTTTTCAGATTGTATGAGGCCCCCTCAGCCACTGGGTGCTGAAGCACGTCCTGTTCCTCCTCGGGGTTGCCAGCTCTATCTCAGCTACAGCCTGAAGAAGCATTGTTGCCTTTGACTTCCAGAGTCTTTCGGGCCCTTTAGCGCCTTAATTTATTGGCCAGCTCCAGCACTTGCATCAATCATTATGAATTTCTCTGAAGTGTTTAAGCTCTCAAATCAGCTCAGCAAATTCTCTCCCAATGGGAAATTCCTGGTGAGTTGTCTGTGGTCACTTAGGCCATTGCTGGTCACACTTTGTTCTTCAATTTCAGATGAGTAGTTAAGAACCCTGAACTAGAAGCCTGGAAGGCTGGGTTTTAATGCCACTGACTTCTTGTGTGACATTGGGTAAGCCAGCCGACTTCTCTTGGCTTCATTTTCCCCCTCTGTAAGTTGGGGGGGTTTGGTTAGGTATACCTTGGTGTAGTAGGAAAAGTGCTGGATCAGAATCAGAGGACCTAGGGTACAGACCTGGTTCTGCCCACTGCTGTCTGTGAGACCTTGAACAGGTTACTTCCCCTGCCTGAGCTTCAGTTTCCTTCTGTGTAAAATGAGGGGTTGGACTAGATTACTTCTAAGGGCTTACTTTAAATCTGTGTTCTTGGGTCAGGTGATCCCTAAGGACTCATGCTTTTTTTTTCTTTCACACCAAAACACTTGTGTGTTGATTAAGTGCCTACTTAATACAGAACGCTGAGGTAGATGCTGGAGGAGATGCAAAATTTGTATTAGAGACTGGGCCTTACTTCACTGAGCTCTCAGTCTAATAAGGGTAAAACACTAATGCAGATAATTATAATAGAATATTATCTAATAAATGTTAGAAAGTTAAAAACAAGCTCTGCAAAGTGCTGGCTCCAATATGCTCAGTCCTCTAGGAGTTGAGTAGGACAAAGATAACCTTAGGTCACTTGTTCTGATAACAGAATTGGGTCATTGCCATTCAGATGGCCCCTAGTTCCTTGTGTGACCTGTGACAGGAGGAAAAAACTTCTTGACTCAACACTTCTTCTAATACACTTAAGCTGTTGGTATTAAAGCAAAATTTTAAAAAGTCATCCATCCATGTAGTGGAATGATGTTGGCCAGCAATTGTCGTGGAATTCAAATTTACTGTGCCTGTGACCAAAGCCCATAGAGTCTCGTTCTTCTGCTATGAAGAAGTGCCAAGAACTAGGGTTTTTTGTTCACTTTTGCTAAAATGCAAACGTTTCATCACTTTACTTTCCCTTATCCCTTCTTTCTATACTCTAGAACATTCGAAGTAAATGACTTAAATAGCTTACATTTTATCCTGGTGAGGAAGAATAGTTTTTAGGATGACTGGGATTTGAACTTTTCATTCCAGGGATTGCAAATCTTGTGCTTATACTACAAAGCTCTGTCCTGGATACAAAATTTAGCTTTGGATATATGCCATTATAATTGTATAATATCTTTGGAGTAATAGAAAAAAAACAACAACCCAATATTGAGACATCACCTGTCTTAACTCATAAATTCCACACAGAAATTTATTGGGTGTCTGTCATTCTAATAAATAGCAATGCCATTAGTACTAACCCAACAGCTTTGGCCTCACTGTACATGTTTTATCTAGCCTAGATTCTGGCAACTGTAACTTAATGAATTTATATCTTTATCTTTTTTTTGTTTGATCTAAAATTGCATAAAATTTCACATTCAGGTGTTAGTCAAACAGTGTCTCAGGAACTATCCCTTAAGGGGTTTCCTGTTTGCCTGTGTTTGGGGAATGAGATTGGTGTGTCCATTCAGTTAGTATAAACAAGTGATTACAATTTGGTGTCGACTGTGACATTTGTACGTAGTGTGTGTAAAGAGAGATAACAGATGCTGGCCTAATTTTGGCACTGGTCATTATTGTTTTTGAAGCTTAGTTAAAACATTAGATGGAATACTTGTCTTTCAGATTAATCTAATACTTTGATACTCTTGAAGCATCTGCCCCAACTTAGTGCCTGAATGAAATGGTTGCATATTACCAGTTTGAGATGCCTTAGAGAAAGCTGAATTTATAATGTATATTTTTTCAGGTGTTGATAAAAAGATCTCATATCATAAAGAAAGGATGAGTAACAGTAGTTTTCTCATGTTTTCCAAAAGATGCTTAGTTAAAATATAGCTGATTCTAATGGAATACTCACATTGTTTAGAAGGTTGGGTTCATATAACATAAATGTTTTAGAATAGATTTCTCTGAGCAATCTGAGTCTTGCAGATACGTACACAAAACGTTATCAGTAGTCCACATGTAATTAGCTGGCTTTTCTCCTGGGCTACAGAGACAATATAGTATAAGTAAACAAAGTAACAGCCTTGACCCTTGCCCTAAATTGTTACTGACCTTACGTATAATAAGTTTTGAAAAAAATCTTAGTGGCATTATTTTTAACAAATGCTCTTAAAGTTGCAAATTTATTTAGAGTAAGTCAATAATGCAACTACTCTCAAATTCCGATCTTTCAACTAAACCATTAATAGTTACATAGTATTTTTGACATTTAGTTCAGGCTATGTAGTATAAACTTAGGTAACTTTGAAATTCAGTTTTATGAAAAATAGTTTGAGTTGAGGTATATTTATCCTAAAGTTAAAATTTCACATTTTAATTTCCATTCTTAACCACAATGGAGTCTTCTACTCTGAAAAAATATAACATAAATCCACCTGTATTCATTACCTCTTTATTATCATTCTCATGTTTTTATTTGTACTATGAACAAAATATACATTTTACTTTGATGTTTGAAAAATAACAAAAATACATTCTAATTGCTTCCTAATGTATAACTGGAGACAGGCCAAGTCAGTATGTTGACTCTGAGTCATTTGCAGAAAATATCTAAATTTATTATAAGTGAGTCGATATGGCACAGATATAGGTATTCAATAAATATTGAATGAATAGCTTCCGTTTTCATTGAACGTGAATAATGGGGTTCTAATGTACTAGAGATGCTGTTAAGAACACGAATGAAAAATTTTCACATTCTTACTTAAAGGACTTTGTAATTTTATTGGTTTGGAGACTTCAGGTATGGAAACTCCCTCCACCCTAGACATATTGCAATTCCACTATAACTTATAATTTGAGAGTTGCCTGAAGCAAAGAGGAACCTGTAACTTGTTCCTGGGCACACAGCTAGCATTAGACATGGGACTAGAATTCAAGTCTGCTTCGAAATCCAGCACCCTTACCAACTCCTCCAAGGGGGCTTTCATTGCACATTTCTAGATAGGTCAAAAGACTGTCAGTGTTATGTATGTGAGACAACTAAAACTATATTTTTGTGTTATTGTGAACTCATACTACTTTTTAATAGTAGGATCCCCCAAATTAATTTAAATTATTTATCAAATGTGACATCTTAATGTCTTTCTTTTGAGTGAGGGGCTCAGACTGATTCACAGATATCTCTTCCATTCTTTTAGCATGTCTTTAGGAGGGTAGTGTTAACCATTTGGTTTGAGATGTGTAAACTGAGGCAGAAAGAAATTATTTTTTGCCTGTAGACATAGCCTTTATAAATATTTATGGAAATAAAAACAGTAGATATTTGTTTAATAAAAGAATACTGATCACTAAACATAACTGCTAATTTTGTATTAGATATTGTTTAAGGTAAATGTGTGAGTATCTGCATATTCTATTCACAATTTTAAATTATACAAATATTAATCGAGTATCTACAGTACTCTCCTGGCACTTAGTAATAGTTTTAGTCATTGTTATTAGGTATTCCTTTTAACAGCCTTGTGAGGTAGGTTCCTGTTGTTATTTTTAAATCGTCTCAAAGACAAACAGTGTAGGACCAGGAGTGGTCTCTCCTTTCTGGTTCATTGTTTAATCTAATGCACCGCTCTATTTCTTGTATATGGCAAGTCTAGCCCTTAGAATATACTTGGGAGAGAAGTACAAGATCATATATTTACAGTTGTTAAAGACATTTTGGGGGGGGGGAATTGCTATCCTCTAAAGGAATTTTCTTTTCTTTTGTTTTGCTTTTTGGTGAGGTGATTGGGGTTAAGTGACTTGTCCAGGGTCGAACAGCTAGTAAGTGTTGTGTCTGAGGCCAAATTTGAACTCAGGTCCTCGTGACTCCAAGGCCAGAGCTCTATCCACTGTGCCACTTAGCAGCCCCTGCAAAGGAATTTTCAAATCTGGTTTGCAGAAGTTATTTCCCTCCCCCTGCCTCCCTTTCCCCCCTTTTTCTTTGGTTCAAACATTTTTATCTTTACAATGGATTGCATAGCTCAAAATAAGCAAAAACTCATAGACGTAAAATATGTGTAAGACTTATTAATAGTTCAGAAGGAGACCGATTTACCCTTTACAAAAATCTTGGCCTTTTAAGACATTTATTACTTTGGTATGTGGTTTATAAAGCTTAACCTTTTTCACATTTAGGCTTCATGTGTCCAGTACCGTTTAGTGGTTCGAGATGTGAGCACTCTCCAAATCTTTCAGCTGTACACATGCCTGGACCAGATCCATCACCTGGAGTGGTCAGCAGACTCCCTCTTCATACTGTGTGCTATGTACAAACGAGGGCTGGTACAGGTAAGTTCAATTTTATCCGAGCCCATGTGCTCCACTGGGATTTTGAAACTCCCAGTCATTTAGTTTGGAAAAACTGTGTTGTTCAGGTCTATGCCAGAATAAATTTGGCAGAACGATTGGAATTAAAGTCTATATTTTAGGGCTCATATAACAACTCTTGATTTTTTCCAAAGCTGGGAGAGAATTTACATATACATATATATATATATATATATATATATATATATATATATATATATAATATATATATATATATACACATATATATATATATATACACACACACACATGCGTATGTATATGTACATATGCAAGCACGTTTAGGTGTGTGTATATAATATAAATAAATACAAACAGAAAACAAATATTCCTTATGTAGGTGAAATCAGGTTAAGAATTAGAAATATTTATAAATCATTAGTTAGCAATTTGGGTGGTATATAGTTTTGAAAAATCTCATATGCAGCCACTTTGTTAGTAACTTGAAGTTTTTGGTGAATGAAACATTAAGGATGCCTTCCACTCATTAAATGTTAAATAAAGTAGATGTAATCATCAAGAGTTATGGCTTACTTTTGTAGTGGAATCCAGCGCCAGTCCTTCATGATGCCGGATGTTTACAGGTTTCCTGAATTTTGTGATTTGTGCTTTTTTGATGATCGCTTCTTCCTTTTTCTATTTTTTGGTTTTTTGAGGAGATGAGTTTTGATAGACTGATCAGTTTTTCCTTCTCTGTCTCTCTTGAATGAATGGAGGTCTGGTCCTTAGAACAGCCTGAATGGCACTGTAAGATAGACGAAGGCTCAGCCGGACTGGTGGCTTCATGTTGGAGTCCAGATGGGCGTCACATTCTCAACACAACTGAATTTCATGTAAGCATGAAGTCATGAATATTCTTCCTGTATCAAATGTTACTGTCTATCCGCTTGCTCCTAAAATAGATTGAGAGTTTTAAAGCCATGTTATCCTGAATGAAATTTATATTTTCTGAATTGTTCTATAGATCTAAATCTAAGTTGATCACCTGATTCTTTTTGCTGGATCAAGAAACATTGCTATACCAGATATTTTTGTTTTCAAAGAAACAGATTGGCAGTAATTGCTGCTTAATTCAAGAACAGAGTACAGCATTTGTTACATAGATTTCCTTCGACACCTTGAGGTGATCACTGAGTACCTCAGTAACATATGACTTACCATGCATTGATAATGCTGAGTAAGGATAAAGGCACCAGCATCATTTGAATAGTTATGTTAAATGAATTTGGCCAGTGTTAAGCAGCTTAAGCTAATGATTTTTTTGGTGTGCAGTTTTCTAAAATTTCTCAGCTTGAGCACTTTTCAGTTCTAGCCTACTTCTTTGGTAAGGCTTGATGAGTTTTTAAATATATTGGCACTGTGAATTCCATTAGCTCAGCCTTATATTCCAGGAAACGATTATTGGAATATTGCCATCTGAATATTTTTACATAAGCTTCTCGTTGTAAAGTGATTAATTGTAACCAACACCAACCAAGTGACCAAAACATTCAGGCAAATTAAGGAAGTTTTTCAGTTCAGTTGATTGAACTTGGAATGTCCTTGGAGGGCTTGCTGTGAGTCCAGTCCCTCTTGATGTGTATCTGAGGGTAATGTGCCTTTGTGATTTGTGCTTTGGAATTACACCTCTGGAGCTTTAATTTGACCAGATCAAATAACCCTATCTGCAAAAATACCTTGTAATGAACCTTGAAGCTTGTATATGTACCGCAGGGAGTCAACGCAGGCCGTTACTAATAGTTGGAGTCTCGTGGAAGCAGTTTTGTGTGGCATAAACACATTCCACAAAAGGTTCCAAACTGTGGAATTCATCATATGTGAGGTATTTGGGTATCAGGTGAATGAGCTCTTCATTTTCTTCCTTCCCATCAGCACTTCCTTTTCCTTATGAGGTGGGGAGTGCATAAACCCTTTCAGTAACGTCTGCTCTCCATGGGGTGGGGGTACAGGCCAGTTGTTAAGCTTAAATTCCCTGAAGATAGAGCGATGTCTGAGCCTAAGTAACCCCAACTGTGAACGGCTGCATCCTCTGCTTGGGATTGTAGCAGCACGTGCACGTGGGGGTGGTGAGTATTTATTGCTAACCATTGGAACTCAGAATGACCCTGCAGGATTTCAGTAAGCTTTTGCCAACTTGGCATCTGTGTTGGGATCGGTTTTCTCTCCAGCTGTAAACAGGTTGCTAAATTAACTTGTTTCAGACAGCTGCTGGGGTCCTGCAAGTGTGTGTTTGACTTGCTATAGGGCTCCGAATCCAAAGCCAACTAGAGCAGATTACTGGAGAATGTTGGAGGTGGGATTGAAGGGGGATGCTTGTCAAGATCAGGGATCATGTGGAGGGAGGGGTTAAAGAGCCTTTCTGCCCACACTTTACAGATCTGTTGTTTGTGTTTTTCCTGTAACCCCAGCTGGCAGTGTTCATGCTTGTCATTTTTTAGGCTCAAATAGGTATCTGCTATTGGTTTAGCCTTGGTATTCTTATTTCCAGGACCAGAATAAACAAAAACCAGAGAATGTGATTCATCTTCATGTTTAACAGTTTAAACTCTAAGGAAACCAAATGCTAACACTTTGTTTATATTGAGTATTCCCTGTGTTGCACCCATAGCAATTAAAGTGCAGTAAGCACAAAATGAACTGATTTGTGCTGAGAGCGTTAGTTTATTTCAGCCTCACCTTTATTGGTGGTTTTAAACAATGAGTAGTATATGCAGCAAGGCAGTTGATGGCTCAGTGCATAGAGCACTGGGCCTGGAGTCAGGAAGACCTGAGTTCAAATCTAGCCTCAGATACTTCCCAGCTGTATGACCTTTGGCAAGTCATTTTACCCTGTTTGCCTCAGTTTCTTCATCTGTAAAATGAGCTGGAGAAGGAAATGGCAAACCACTCCAGTATCTCTGCCAAGAAAACCCCAAAAAGGGATCACAGAGTCAGACACGACTGAACAAGTACGTCTTAGCAGCAGGCTAGCCTATATATAGCATTAGGCATTTGTATTTTGTGGAGTGATGAACTCTCTGGTTTTAATGTTAATTTAGTTTGTTACCAGTAAGAATTGTTTTGTTGCTGTTTATCCATTTCAGTTGTGTCCAACTCCTTGTGACCCCATTTGGGGTTTTCTTGGCAAAGATACGGGAGTGGTTGGCCATTTCCTTCTCCATCTCATTTTACAGATGAGGAAACTGAGGCAAACAGGGTACAGTGAGTTGCCCAGGGTCACATAAATAAGGCCAAATTTGAAGTCAGTATGAGGAGTTTTCTTGACCCCAGGCCAAGAGGTCTGTGTGCTGTGGTGCCACCTAGTGACTCAGTAGGAATTGTTGGAATCTTGAAACAAAATAGGAGCTTGGAGCATGCATGAGCCCCATACAACAGACACCTCCTGGTGAAAGGGAGAACTGGGGTGCTGTTGCAAGCTAAGAGCAACCAGTCTAGCAACTAGCTTCGACCCTTCGTAGCCAGTGAGAACTGGTAACTAGAATTCAATCAATCAGCCACCATCTAGGGAGCATCAGGTATGTTTGTCATCTTAGGTGTGTTGGAAGATGCAAAGGAAAGGGTGAGAATAGGCTGCCCTTGAGGAGTTTAGAGTCTGGTTGAAGAGAGAAGCTTCGGATGTGAGGAAAGTTTATCCAAAATACGGAATAATAAATGATCAGGGGCAACGTCAGTAGGAGAAAGGTTGTGGTGTTCAGAGGAGGGAGAGATATCTGGTTTGGGGGCCACTAGGGAAAGGTTCACTCCCTCCAATTTTGTGTGGGTTCACTCAAAAAGTGGAAGTTGAGCTGAACCTTGAAGGATGAGTGGAATGTAGATAAGGAGAAAAGAAAGGGCCAGACAGATCAGTCTGGGGAGGGGAGGGGCATGAAGATAAGTCTTGTGGCTTCAAGACTTAGTTGTGGACCATCAGTAGACCAGCAGAAGTGGGGAGGGGAGCAGAGGGAACGGGACAGCTCGCTGATATAGTGGAAGTGAAAGGTGGTCTGGGAACCAAGAAGACCTGAGTTCAGATTTAGCCTCAGACACTTATTAGTGACCCTAAGCAAGTGACTTAACTCAGTTTCCTCATCTCTAAACTGAAGATAATAACAGCACCTACCTCACACAGTTGTTGTGAGATAATTCTTCTAAAGCACTTTGTAAAACCATAGTGAGCCATAGAAATGCTGATTGTCATGTCTTCTTGTCATTTTGGGGAACAGAGAAGAACCTGGAAAGCTAAGCCTGGGCCCAGATTGTGGAAGGCCTCTATTCTGAGGAGAATTCACTCAGAGCCTCTCTTAACATTTCTAAAAACTGCTTTTCTTCTTAGTTGTAATAATAACCTAGGTAGAAGAGTGGCATCTTTTTTCACTCACATGTGATATTTATTGCTACAAGATTTCCTCACTTGATATGTTTTAGTTAAAACCATATAAAAACCTCCCCAGTTAAAGACATTTTTGTCACTTATTACTGAAAAATTCAGCTAGGGCATATGTTCAAAGTGAATTTTTATTATTATCAATGTTCATGGCAAGTGGAACTAACAGCTAGCAAATTGCTTCAAAACAGGAATTTTGAAAGGCCCACATGGTTGAGTAAGTGAAGCTTATAATTGGTAGCATCTTTTTGTATCAGATGGGCCAGTTAGGTGGTACAGTGGGCAGAGCACTGAGCCAGGAATCAGGAAGACTCATCTTCAGGGAGTTCAAATCCGGCCTCAGACACTTATCACTGGTCCTCTTCTAGAAAAGAGGATGAACAACAAGCTGTGGGACCCTGGACAAGTCACTTCACCCTGGTTGCCTCAGTTTCCTCATCTGTAAAATGAGCAGGAGAAGGAAAAGACAAATCCACTACAGGATCTTTGCCGAGAAAACCCCAAAGAGGGATCACAGAGTCAGGCAGGACTGAACAAGTACATCTTGGCAGCAAACTAGTCACGGGGCTATGGAGAGTTGGGTGTGACTGAAACGGCTGACCAGCAATAGTTTGTATTAGATAATGTGCTAAGATCCTTACTGACAACCCACTAAAGCAGGTTAAACTTCTCACTAGCATCTTTCAAAAAGTATTCCACATTGGACTCAGATGTAGTAGAGAACAAAGTCTCAGCTTAGCTCAGGCCTTGATGATCTCACTTTTTGAATTCGTAATCTGAGTTAATAAAGTTTTACATTAATTGGAAAATTACTGTTTTTTTAAAAGAGGGATAGTTTTGTATTACTTTGACTAGGTGTCTTATAAATTGAAAATTTTATGTCACTAAATATATGTAGAAATTAGGATAGCATAAATTATGAAACTGTTAGATTGTTTTCCAACTTAAGGATAGTTCTTCATGGTTTCTCACAAATTATATTGGAGGAGTCTTGTTCTTTTGAAAAAGTGTGGAGAAAAGAGTAACCTCCTGTATTAAAATGAACACTTCATTCTTCTGTGTTTTATAGAAAGTTGATTGCTTTTTGATGCCATTAAGTGAAAAACATGATTGATTTGCAAACTAGTTTTTCTCCCTAGTCTGTGAATATTTAAAACTAAACTAAAACATATTCTCCTTAGCCTGTTGTATCTTATGAATAAAAATGTATATTGGTGACAATTTAGAATGAGTGCTCACATTAATTTATTGTTTGAAACATACATCTTCTTGAGCAATGTGTGCTTGAGTAAGCTTTTGAAGTCCTGTGCTGACGAACCTGGCTATGTAAAGAAAGGGCTTTGTGACCCAGTCAAGTCTGGGACAGTCAGTTGAGCTGAAGGTTGTTTATATTTTATTTAATGAAAATCACCAGTCTCACACCTGCTCTTAGCAGTCAAACTTAGCGATGATGTCCTTTCACCCGATGGT